AATATATCAGCCATTTTCTATCATGCTTCTCTCCATTAGAAAATCGTTGAACGTAATGTGTAGATGAGAAGTGTCAATTTGCTATATCTTTTGGAAAAAATCACATCATTTTCTCTTACAGGACATTTCATTACAATTAAATCTCTTAAATTCAGATACATATTTCCCCAATTTGTTGGATCAATAAGGTCAATGGAAAAAGGTACATTATCTCTATCAGTATATATCTCTTCATTCATCAAATGATGCTTTTCTTCAATTGTATTATTTATGTTATCATTCTTATTAAACTCCCCTTCAATGACTACATCTTCGTTATGTATTCATTTGTTACTACTAAAAAAAACTTATCAAATGCTCCCTCTTGAGATTGAATCAACTTTTCAACATTTTCCTTCCTTTTTCTTTTGGTACATCCAGATTCAAATTTTCTTGTAGACATAGTTATAAGCAAAGAGCAATAGAATCTGATTGATGTATCTGAATTAAAAATTCCCAAGCTTCTTCAAAAAGAAGGGATTCAGCAATGATAAATGACCTGCAAATATATAGTTATAGAAGATAAGAACTTCCTGCAATCTGTAATTATAATCGACTAATTAAGTGTATTCATTATTCACTGAAGTCATTCAACCAAAAGTGCGGGACGGAATAGTGAATACCTTAGTTGAAGCTTTTCGAAAAAGTGGAACCAATACAAACTAATTGAGGGAATTCAAACACAAACTGAAAACAGATTTAATCACCTTCTCTGTAATCGTCTTCTTAGAATAAAGAACTACAAACCTAAAAATATGTAGTTATAGAAGATAAGAACTTCCTGCAATCTGTAATTATAATCGATTAATTAAGTGTATTCATTATTTACTGAAGTCATTCAATCAAAAGTACGAGACATCGGGATGGAGTAGTGAATACCTTAGTTGAAGCTTTTCGAAAAAGTGGAACCAACACAAACTAATTAAGGGAATTCAAACACAAACTGAAAACAAATTTAATCGCCTTCTCTACAATCGTCTCCTATGAATAAAGAACTACAATCGTTTTCTCTGCAATCGACTTCTTTGATGGAGTTTTGCACAAAAATCTGGAAGTTTTTCTTCTCCAATTGTCGTCCGTCTTTTCCTTTTTCTTTCTTTTGTGTGTCGTTTGTATGAATTGAAGATAATTCATTCATTTAAGGAGAGAAGAATTTTTTTTTTCTAATGGATTAGGGTGATTTTGGGCCTCTTTTTTGTGGCCCCTTAAATTTTGAGACCCAAGGCAACTGTCTTGTTTGCCTTGGGCTAGGGCAGCCCTGTAGGGACCAAACCCCTTTAAATAGTGCGAAGCTCCCGTCAAACTGTGGCTACAATTACCCTCGAGTGAAATGAATTCCATTAATGCTGAATTGAAATCAGTAAATGTTGAAACTGAAACCATGATGTTGGACCATTAATAGAGAAAGAAACGGTTATGTTACATTCTCTTACTTGGTCCATACATTCAACATAATGTTTCAATTCATTCCAATCAATTGTCTTAAAAAATAAACATATGAATCATGAGCCATGAGTCCTCTAATAACGAGTATTATCTTCCATGTATTACAATATATTTAATTCCTCAAGAATTTTGTATGTGGTAACAATAATGAAAAAGACCCTATATCTTATTCTTAGTCCTACAAAGATATATTTTCTCGAATAAATTATGTGTGTATGAATATGAGAAAATATCTTAATAAATAAGAATTTCATACAAAAATTGTATATACCATTACACAATAGAACCAAGTCTCATTTTCTCTACATGATCCTTGAATTTCAGTGGTAGCATGCATTTAGTAAAAGTATCAGCGATCATCATTTCAATGCTTACGCATTTAATGACCACTTTCTTTTCTTTAATATGTTCCCTTATGGCAACTTAATGTCGATATGCTTACTTCGACTACCACCACTTTTGTTGTTCTTAGCCATAAAGACTGTAGCCTAATTGTCACAGTAAATTCTCAATGACCTAGAAATGGAATCCATAACTCTAAGCCACTCTTAATGCATACATCATGCGAAGAAGCCTCAAAATATGAAATAAACTTAGCTTCTATAGTGGAAGTAGCAGTCAAGGTTTGCTTGTCACTCATCCATGATACAGTTCCACCAGCCATCATAAAAATATACCATAATGTTGATTTTCGTGAATCAATACAGTCGAAAAAGTTTGAATCTGAATGTCCAATCGCTTCCAGATTATCCGTCCATTTATACATAAGCATGTAATTTTTGGTTCCTTGAAGGTATCTCATTACTTTATTTGCTACTCTCTAGTGGTCCATACCTGGATTACTTTGATATCGTCCTAACATTCCTATAACAAACTCAATGTCAGGCCCTGTGCAGACTTGAGCATACATCAGTCTTCTGATAGCAGAAGCATATGGAATGTTTTTCATTTGTTCCATTTTTAAATTATTTTTCAGGCATTGGTTCAAATTGAACCTATCACTCTTTACAATGGGAGTTACACTTGGGGAACAATCTTTCATCTGGAATCTCTCTAAAATTTTGTCGATATAGGTTTTCTGAGACAAACGCAAAATACCTCTTAATCTGTCTCTATAAATCATAATGCCAATAATATAAGATGTCTCACCCATATCCTTCATATCGAAATGTTTAGAGAGAAATTGTTTCACCTCATGCAACAAACTTTTATCATTGGTTGCAAGTAAAATGTCATCTACGTATAAAACAAGAAAACAAATCTTACTCTCACTAACCTTTTGGTATATACATTGATCCAAGAGATTTTCAACAAATCTAAATGAAGAAATTACACAATGGAATTTAAAATACCATTGATAGGACGCTTGTTTTAGACCATATATCAATTTCTTAAGCTTATAGTCCAAGTGCTCACCATCATTAGAGGATAAGCATTTAGATTGTTTCATATAAACTTCTTCCTCTAAATCTATATTGAGAAATGCCATTTTCACATCCATTTGTTGTAACTCAAGGCCAAATTGGGCTACTAATACCAAAATAATACGAAGAGAATTTTTTTTAGATATTGGAGAAAAGATTTTCGTGTAATCAATTCCTTCATTTTAAGTGAATTTCATAGCCACAAATCTCGCCTTCTATCTTTCAATGTTGCCTAGCGAGTCTTTCTTAGTCTTAAAGACCCATTTATAGCCAATAGCTTTAGCATCACAAGGCAACTCAGTAAGATCTCAGACTCTATTACTCTTCATGGAACTCATCTCTTCCTTCATGTCATTGTACCATAATTCTGATTCTTTGCAACTCATGGCCTGTGAAAATGACTCGGGATCATTTTCAGCTCCAATACTGTGGTCAAGTTCTTGTAGGTACACTTCATAATCACTAGGAATTGCTGATCTTTTTGTTCTAACAGATCTTCTTAATGTTGTACCAACATCTTCCCGAGAAGTTTGTGGTTCAACCCATTGTTTAGGAAGTCTTGGTAATTCTTGAATAACCTGATTTATTTGAACATTGTCGGTAGCTTGTGGAATTTCAATGATTGGTTGTTCAACACCTATTTGTACTTGAGGGGTGATGTGAACTATGATTAATGTGTCACCTAAGGTGGAAGGTTGAGATTCTAAATGATCATGCTCATGAACTTTGTTCCTGGTTTGATTGCTCCCCACTTATCAAGTCATTCTCAAGAAACTTAGTGTTTCTTGATTCCACAAGCCTAGTGTTGTAAGATGGACAGTAAAATTCAATGTTTTGAAAATCGTCCCGATCATCGACTAGGAAAAGGTGAATGGGCAATGGTCAAAAGGTTCAACCGTGGTCGAACTGAGATCGAACCGGATGCAATAAATACATACAAAGATCGAACCAGATGTAATAAATATATACAAAAATAATAAAATACTATGAAAATAATTTTTTTTTTAATTTTCATATTAATAATTCAAAGTCAATCTATATTTGTTACTTAGATTAATTATCTTACAATTAGTCTCGATACTTCAAAAATCAAAAATCAATATATTAAAATAGTTTAAGCTTACAGAAAATGATATCTAACATTAATATATTAATAATCAAGTGCAATTTAAGTTAAATTTGAAAATTAAATAAATGAAATGATGAAGGTGAATATTACAATTTATTTAGTTGGGATTCAAATCAAATTAGTCAGTTAGACATATATTTGGAAAATAATTTTGATGGGCATTTTAACATTTTTTTGTTATGCCACTATCTAACATTGGAAGTTTATGAAATCATTGTAGAGAAGAACATCTATAAAAGGCACTATCCCACACTGAAAGTTTATGAAACTATTTTAGAGAAGTGCATCTATAAAATGAGAATGTCATCCAATATTTCTCTATAGGTCTCTTTGAATTGTAATTTATGAGGTCCGTTCATGAAGTTAAAAAATTTTAAACTAAAAAAAAAANATTAGAGGATAAGCATTTAGATTGTTTCATATAAACTTCTTCCTCTAAATCTATATTGAGAAATGCCATTTTCACATCCATTTGTTGTAACTCAAGGCCAAATTGGGCTACTAATACCAAAATAATACGAAGAGAATTTTTTTTAGATATTGGAGAAAAGATTTTCGTGTAATCAATTCCTTCATTTTAAGTGAATTTCATAGCCACAAATCTCGCCTTCTATCTTTCAATGTTGCCTAGCGAGTCTTTCTTAGTCTTAAAGACCCATTTATAGCCAATAGCTTTAGCATCACAAGGCAACTCAGTAAGATCTCAGACTCTATTACTCTTCATGGAACTCATCTCTTCCTTCATGTCATTGTACCATAATTCTGATTCTTTGCAACTCATGGCCTGTGAAAATGACTCGGGATCATTTTCAGCTCCAATACTGTGGTCAAGTTCTTGTAGGTACACTTCATAATCACTAGGAATTGCTGATCTTTTTGTTCTAACAGATCTTCTTAATGTTGTACCAACATCTTCCCGAGAAGTTTGTGGTTCAACCCATTGTTTAGGAAGTCCTGGTAATTCTTGAATAACCTGATTTATTTGAACATTGTCGGTAGCTTGTGGAATTTCAATGATTGGTTGTTCAACACCTGTTTGTACTTGAGGGGTGATGTGAACTATGATTAATGTGTCACCTAAGGTGGAAGGTTGAGATTCTAAATGATCATGCTCATGAACTTTGTTCCTGGTTTGATTGCTCCCCACTTATCAAGTCATTCTCAAGAAACTTAGTGTTTCTTGATTCCACAAGCCTAGTGTTGTAAGATGGACAGTAAAATTCAGTGTTTTGAAAATCGACCCGATCATCGACTAGGAAAAGGTGAATGGGCAATGGTCAAAAGGTTCAACCGTGGTCGAACTGAGATCGAACCGGATGCAATAAATACATACAAAGATCGAACCAGATGTAATAAATATATACAAAAATAATAAAATACTATGAAAATAATTTTTTTTTTAATTTTCATATTAATAATTCAAAGTCAATCTATATTTGTTACTTAGATTAATTATCTTACAATTAGTCTCGATACTTCAAAAATTAAAAATCAATATGTTAAAATAGTTTACTTTGTTAAATTAAAATAGTTTACACTTATAGAAAATGACATTTAATATATTAATAATCAAATGCAATTTAAATTAAATTTGAAAATTAAATAAATGAAATGATGAAGGTGAATATTACAATTTAGTTAGTTGAGATTCAAAATCAAATTAGTCAATTAGAAATACATTTGAAAAATGATTTTGATGGACATTTTAACATTTTTTTTGTTATGTCATTATCCCACATTGGAAGTTCATGAAACAATTGGAGAGAAGAACATCTATAAATGCACTATCCCGCATTGGAAGTTTAAGAAACCATTTGAGATAAGTGCATCTATAAAATGAACATGACATCCATTAATTCTCTATGGGCTTTTGAATTGTAATAATAATTTATAAAGCCCATTCATGAAGTTAAAAAATTTTAATCTTAAAAAAAATTTGAGAAAATCACTTAAAATCGTGACCGTTTCACCAGTTTATGGTTGAATCGACCGGTTCATTACGTTTTGAGCGATTTTGTAACAATCAATTAACCGGGCTTGGTTTAGCCCAGTTTTGGATCCGATTCTCGGTTTTACCGATCGAATCGACCGGGCCGGGCCGATTTTGACAACTTTGGTAAAATATGTATTCTTTAGACCTTTCAGTATATCCATGAAATACCCACTAATGGTCCTTGGGTCTAACTTCTTCTCTTGTGGATTATAGATCCTCGCTTCAAACGAGCATCCTCAAATGCGCATATGTCGCAAACTTGGTTTCCAATCTTTCAATAATTCAAATCCCATCTTTGGGACAGCCTTAGTTGGAACTTGATTTAATATATACATTGTCGTCTTAAGCGCTTTAGTCCACAAGGATTTAGGAAGATTGGAGCTACTAAGTATACTCCGCACCATGTCTAATAATGTTCTATTTTTCTTTCTGCCACACCATTTTGGTCTAGTGAACTAGGCATAGTGTATTGGCAACTATCTCATGTTCTTGAAGAAACTTAGCAAATGGACCATGTGCTTGTCCATTCTCTGTGTATCTACCGTAATATTCTCCACATCTATCTGATCTAATCTGCTTCTCACATTGTTTCTCTACTTCAGCCTTAAAGGTTTTAAGACATCCAATGCTTCGCTTTTATTATGAAGCAAGTAGAGATACATATATTGAGAATAATCATCAATAAAGGTGATGAAATATTTCTGACCATGTGAGTCCATATCTGGACTACATATATCAGTGTGTATGATTTCTAATCTGTCTGAACTTCTATTGGCACCTTTCTTTGACTTGTTTGTCTATTTTCCCTTAATACTGTCCACACATGTGTTAAAATCAGTGAAATCTAGAGTACTAAGTACCCCATCTTTTACTAATCTTTTAATTTTTTCCATAGATATATGTCTTAATCTCCGATGTTACAACATAGAGGAGTCTTCATTAATATTACACCATTTATTGCCGTGTAAACATGCATTGAATTGAATTGTAAGTGATATTATTTTGTAAATTAATATGATAAATACCATCAGACAAAATACAATTCCCAATACAATCAGAATTATATAATAAACTGAATGACATGTTCAAAAAATTAAAGGAATATATCAAGGATAAAAGTCTGGAAATCGAGAGTAAGTATCGTGAAAAACTTGGAACATAAAATGTTCTATCTAATTTCAAAACAAAGCCACTACTTAACGTTAAAATGCATGTTCCTATAGCCTCCGCATGTGAGCCCATCTTGTTTACGGATAAGATATTTTGCTCACTTCCCACGGGCTTTCTCAGGTTTTGTATACAATGCAAGGAGTTTGCAATATGAATTATAGATCCAAGTCAGGTGTTAATATTTACATTAACCATATTAGATTCATAACAAAGAAATGAAGTCGGATTACCTTTATCCTTAGGTCATTTCTTGAATTCGACGTAATCTTTTTTCACGTATCCCGTCTTTTTACAGAAGTAACACTTGGCCTATTTCTTAATATCAGCTTGGGCTGGTATTTTACCTTTCCCCTTCCTATTAGCTTGAGCCTTCCCGTTTCCCACAAATTGTAGTCAACATTACACTTTCATCTTGTTCCATTATTAACGTCCATTCCTCTTGAACACATATAATAATTTATTTATTTATTGACCATTTATCCTTATGTGTGTTGTTCGAGATTTTGAAAGGTCCGTACTGTTGTGGAAGAGTATTCAAGATGTAGTGCACAATGAAGGATTTAGACAACTCAATCTCGAGTTTCTTAAGTTAAGTCGTAATGTCTCATTTGCATGATGTGCTCGTGCACACCTTTCACACTGGTAAGCTTTAAGGATGAGAACTTTATTATAAGAATGCTTGCTAATGCCTTTTCTGAAGTGAAGAATTGATCATCAATGACTTTTATCAAGTCTTGGACCTTGTCATGTTGATCGACAGAACCGCGTATACCAGCAAAAATTTTAGTCTTTATGAACATTAAACTGAGGCGATTATATCGCTCCCATTTTTCATAAAGTGCGATGTCTGTTGCAGTGCTGGTATCAGTGATTTTAGATGGTTCATCTATCCTAATAGCATAATCAATATCCATCTACCCTAAATGGGGAAGAATTCTCTCCTTCCATACTTTGTAGTTATCACCCTTTAATTCGGGAATATTACAACAAATATCAGAGAAATTAGCGGTTGTGAAGCTGCATAATATTAAAAATGCTTATGTTAAATTTGAGGGTTAATTGAATGGAATGCATGTTTTACCAATGTAAATCATGCTAACATTGAATACAATGACATAAAAATTGCATATGGCCTAAATTTTTAATTCAAGCATACTCAATTATTCATTGTGATAGAATTATCAAATTATGTACTTAATTCATATTTAAGTTAATTATGAAAACAATTTGATATTGTATTCTAAAGCAAACTTTATAATAAAACTATCAAATTTTATATTTATTCATAATTATGAGATAATTTGATATTTTATTCTAATTAATTATACAAATATAATAAAAGTTCACGTGGGAAAAAAATTATTATATTATGTATAATTAATTACAATTTAATGTTTTTAATCTTTATGTGATCCCGATCTCAATATATAGTTTTATTTAATTAAGGCTAATCCTTAAATAAATAAAACTATATAGATTACTACGGCATTATGTATTTTATGTATAAACGATTAATTTAATATGAGAATAAGTCTAATTGCGCAACATTAACCAACATGTTATGATTATGCACAAAATTCTCATAAGCGTTATAAATTGCATAAAATTTTAACTCATCTAAAAATCACATGTATTAATTTAAAACATAATTAACTCATACAAACTAAATATGAGTATATTTATGATTTTTCATAATTTAATTCATCATAAAATTGCATATATTATTTTAAACATAAATAATTAACTTATGCATTCCCAATAATTAAAAGGGAAATTATAAAAAATCAAGTGTTTAAAGATTGATTTTTAAAAATCAGGTCTACAATTTATTTATTCAAAATTCAGGTATATTATTTTAAATATTAAATACTTAATCTATTTAAACTCTAAACTAATTCATTTCTCTTCCAATCTATTCATTTCTCCACTCTCTCACCCGTCGCCTCCACCGCCACCGTCATCTTCTCCTCCCTTCTCCCTCCCCCTTCCACTGCAGCAGCTTCGCGACGCTGTTGCAGTTCGCGACGCTACTGCGCGAACAACGTCGCGACGCTGCCGTTCGCGCAACAGCGTCGCGAAGTTGCTGCAGTGGGAGGGAGAGGGAGAAGGGCAGTAGTGTTGGTGGCGGGTGGAGGGAGAAGCTGCTGCTGCAGGAACGGTGTCGCGACACTGCCGGGTCAGATGGAGGGTTCAGGTACTTTGATGTTTGTGTTGTGGATCTGGCGGTTGGGGAGGGTTTGGATGGGTTTTTGTGTGGTGGTGATGGTGTTTGTGTTGTGTTGCAGCAGATGTTTGTGGCGACGACGACGATAGCGATGTGATAGTCGTGGCTTTGTTTCCGGTGGCGATGGTGGTGCGTTTGTATTGTTGGTGACGGTGGTGCATTTGTGTGGTGGTGGCAGGGTTGTGTTGTTGTGGTGGTGGTGGTGATGTGACTACAATAGCTGGGTGAGGGTGGTCGCAACTTGCCTGTGGCCGTGGCAGTAGTGTTGCGGCGGTGACATGTGACCACTATTTGGTGTATGTAACTAATTATTTGGTCATTTGTGACCAAGTATGGGTGGTGGATCGGATCGGGATGGGGTGTTTCAGTATATGTGACCAACTATTTGATTCAACTTGAAAATATGTAACCGATCGATAAAATGTGACCTACAATTTTTTTGATTTGTGACCAATAAAATAAANTTATATTAAAATTAAAAAAAAAAAAAAACCTGAATTTTGAAGTTTCAAACTATAAACCTTATTTTTGAATTGGTGTAAAGAATACACCTTATTTATGAATTTTTCCCTAATTAAAATCTATAAAATTGGCCCACTAAATTAATTCTATACAATCGGCCCAATTGAACTTGATGTGCCCAAGAATAATTTCTGCAAAATTGGCCCAAAATACAACTACGTGTGCTTAATAATTGAATTGTCGTACTCTCTATATTGTTCACTAAACCGTGTCAATTGCGACTACATGATGTGCAAAATTGCGACCTCTATATAAATGTGATGGTATTCACATGGAATTGTGGCTTGATAACATTTGGGATGTAAAAACTGAAATATAGCAATTGTGACCTTATAATGATGGTGAATAATGAAAAGAATAAGTGTCTCTCCAAATATTATTTGAAACCATCAAAAAATTATTTTGTGTAATTTGAATTTCATAAATTAAAAATCAGATATACATTACCACAATTAACGAGTTTGGGCACAAAATAAAAACATATATTAAAAATATTTTTAGAACAAAATACGAAGGTGGCGGGGAAAAAATTAAAATAATACCTGATTTTTGATAATGAAAATTTAAAAACGTGGTTTCCTCTAATTTTATCTTTTATTTTTTTTTCTATTAAGTTGGGCTTGGGCTTAGATGGGATAATTGGTTACAGGTTTCTAAAGCCCATTCCAAACATAATGGACCAACTTAATATTGGGCTAACTTTAGCCATTTTATTTGTCCAAGCCTATATATTTACATCTTTATTTCTTCTTTTTATAATTTTGTTTGGATTAAATCCCCAATATGTAAGAAATAAATACATACATCTACCAGCATGATACTTGGAGTAGTACGGTGAATTTCCTTTTTTTCTTCCGTTTCTTTTCTATTTCCCACTCATGGGCTTAGAGCAAGGGCATGATAATTCGAGGAAATTACACCCACACCTGTTATTAGATATCCATTTTCATAATTCCTGATTTAAGTTTGATATTTCACTAATCAGGATTTAAAGGAATTAAAAAAAAAAATTTATTTTCATTTAAAAATCTATTTAAAATAAATTCATTTATTTAACCCTACCCTAACTCCCATACCCTAAATCAAATCTTCTCTCAATCTCTCCACCG